ACTCGTGTGGCGTCTGGCGGTGCTGTGCCTGGCGGTTCTCCGGGTGCTTCATCTCGTCGGGAGCCACTCTCTCCAAAGGAGCTGCGTGAGTGGTTTGCCCGCCGCTGGAGGCGAGCTGCGGGTACTAGAGGTTCTGCTGCTGCTAAGGGAGCTGGTGCCGCGGGTCCCGGAGGTGCTCGTACTGGGAGTACTGAAGCTGCTGGGCCTGCGGGTACTTCTGGAGCTGGAGCTACTGAGGGTGTTGGCGCGGAGACTACTGCTGTCGGTCCTGGAGGCGTTCCTGCTGAGGGTGCTACTGGTGCTACAGGAGGTACTGGAGCAGGAGGTGCTGCTGGTGTTGGTGCTGCCGCTGCTGGTACTGGTGCTGTCCCTGCTGTGTCTGGAGTTGCCGGGCGACCTCGGCCGTACTTTGTTCCGCTCTTTCAGCAGGTTCTTGGTCTCCCGCCTTCTACTGGTCCTCCTCCTCCCTTAGAGTGTCCACAGTCTGTCCCGTCACAGTTAAAGTTACAACCGGCGTACCCACTGCCTGCTCCGTCTCCCTACACTGGTCCTACTGGAGGTCTTGCTGAGCGTCGTGAGCCTGCGTCTCGCTCTGCGTCGCCTGTCCGTGCTGCTCGCACTAGTGGTCGCGCTTCGCGTCAGCGTCCTCCTCCTGTCACTGGCACGCACCAGATGTCTCTGCATCCGTCCACTGCTCCTCTGCGTGCCCCTTTGCCTTCTCCTCCTGAGTCTTCTCTTCCTACTCTTGCCGACCTGGAGTCGGACTCTCTTCGTGCTGCCAGTCCTACTGTCACGCGTCTCCTTGCTACTGTTGTCACTGACCCTTCCTTTGAGTCCACTGCTGCGTCTGCCCTAGTTGCTGAGCTCGTCGACTTTGCTGCTCTTCTGTCGTCTTGACTACGCCGCTAGTCTTGTTGCTGAGTCTGAGTCTGTCTGTCCTCCGTCTGTCGGGGGTGAGTGTGCCCTTGGCACGGACGTCCTTGAGGACAGGCAGGAGGAGTTCCAGTGCTTGGCTGCTGCTTCACCTCATCTCGTGTCCGTACTGCTTACCCCTGAGGGAGACCCGGATGCACTTGACATCCAGACTCCGCGCTCTTACGCGGAGGCGATAGAGGGTCCCTACTCCACTCAGTGGCACGCAGCTATGGATGCAGAGATGGCTTCCTGGAAGTCCACAGGCACCTACGTTGACGCGGTTCCCCCACCTGGGGCGAACATCCTCAGTGGCATGTGGATCTTCAGGGTGAAGCGGCCACCGGGTTCTCCGCTTGTCTTCAAGGCGCGTTACGTGGCTCGTTGCTTCAGTCAGCGGCAAGGAGTTGACTACTTTCAGACCTTCTCTCCCACCCCGAAGATGACCACTCTTCGGGTACTGCTGCACGTAGCTGCTCACCGTGACTACGAGCTACACTCTCTTGACTTCAGCACTGCTTTCCTGTAGGGCAGCCTGCACGAGGAGATCTGGCTGCGCCGCCCACCTGTCTTCACTAGGACTTTTCCTCCTGGCACCCAGTGGAGCCTCCGACGGCCAGTCTATGGTCTCCACCAGGCACCGCGTGAGTGGCACGACACACTGAGGACTACACTTGCGGCTCTTGGGTTTGCTCCCTCTACTGCCGACTCGTCGCTGTTTCTGCGCACCGACACTTCTCTGCTGCCGCTCTACATCCTCGTGTACGTCGACGACTTGGTCTTTGCCACAGCTGACACTGCTGGACTTGCCCACGTGAAGTCCGAGCTGCAGAAGAGACACACGTGCACTGACCTCGGTGAACTGCGCAGCTACCTTGGCTTGCAGATCACCCGGGACAGAGCACGCCACACCATTACCCTGACTCCGTCACACATGGTGCAGCAGGTCCTTCAGCGCTTCGGCTTCACGTACTCCTCGCCTCAGGCCACTCCTCTGCCTACTCGCCACTCGCTCTCAACTCTGCCTTCGGATGAGTCCGTAGAGTCGAGTGGCCCGTACCCAGAGCTTGTTGGCTGCCTCATGTACCTGATGACCTGCACACGACCTGACCTTGCATACCCTCTTAGCATTCTCGCACGCTATGTTGCTTGTGGGAGACACACATCAGAGCACATGGCTGCAGCGAAGAGGGTGTTGTGCTACTTGTGCAGTACGTCGGGCATGGGGCTTGTGCTTGGAGGGCAGAGTCGAGTGGTCCTCACTGGGCACGCGGACGCTTCTTGGGCTGACGACCAGGCTACGCAGCGGTCGTCACAGGGTTACACCTTTAGCCTTGGTTCCGGCTCTGTTTTGTGGCGGGCTACTCCCTCTTCTTCTGTTCTCGGCTCCAGTTGTGAGGCTGAGATCTACGCAGGAGCCATGGCTGCTCAGGAGCTTCGCTGGCTCACCTACCTGCTGACTGACCTCGGAGAGCCGCCTCGTTCTCCTCTAGTTCTATACGTAGACAACAAGGCCATGCTGGCCTTGTGTCGGGAGCAGCGACTGGAGCACAGAACGAAGCACATTGCTCTCCGCTACTTTCTTGCTTGTGAGCTGCAGCAGCGTGGTCAGCTGCGTCTTGCGTACGTGGCCTCTGAGGCCAACACTGCTGATATCTTCACCAAGGCGCTTGCGCCTTGTGATCATCAGCGCTTCAGTACTCAGCTGGGTCTTGTGCCTGCCTTGCCTCACTTGCTCACCTCTTGACCTTGTTTGTACTGTTACATATATATATGCACCTGCTCTTGCTTGTCTAGCCTCTTATATATATGTACTCCTGCATGTGAACTGGCCTTGTGGCCTTTGAACTTGTGCTCGGAATGTGTGGTGACTTTGTGATCCACCCTGAGCTTGCTTTGCTTTGCTTGACTGGTCTTGTGACCCCTTGTTCTCCCCCATTGTGCCTATGGGGGTGTGTCAGAACATCATAGCTTATGCATTTTGTGTAGGCTATAGTGGGGTAGCCCATAAGGGGTACAACCCAATTAGGGTTAGTACTTGTACCAACTCTTGCATAGTCCAATTCATTCTCGTTCTAGTTTTCTCACGGGCTGGTCACAATGATCGGGTTGAAGGTGCAAGGAATGGTGGTTATGCTGGAAAATAATGGTTCGGTGACTTGGTTGACGACGAAACGCATATTTGGTGAAATCGCGTCTCGGGTCAGGATTCAGGAGTCACTTGTTACTCACCTTTCTCTCTCCCTTCCGCACCAGCTTCGACCGCACTCACATCCCACCCAACACCCAAGGGACCCATAATGCATATTTGTCGGCCAGATAATCAGCATTACTCATCGAGCTATCTCCAGCATCAATCAGCTCAAACACACCACCTCTAGCATCTTCGCCTTTCGCGTCCATCTCGCCTCGCTTTCATCATCATGGCCCAGCTTTCCTTTTTCGCGACGTCGCTCGCCGTTATGATCCTCGCCATGACTAGCAGTGCATCGGTGGCGCGACACTATGCTGGCACGGCTGCCGTTAAGCCCACAGCAGCGACCTGCACCAACTCGACTCTCTCTCCATACGCCAAACCTGTCAAGCTCACAGCTGACGGGTAGGTTAACTTTGTTAAATCAGTACTCGTTTTACCCAGCGGCGGTTGGCACGGGCGCAACTTGATCGCATGAATATTTCAAAATCGCAGATCATCACCTTCCGTTTGGTTTAGGGTTTCGGGTTTAGGCTCCCGTTCGTACCTCGTAATCGGTTTTATCCTGCGTTTGGGTCCATAGAAATGGAACCATCTACTTTTGAGGCGCCTAGGAATTCCCGTGCCTTTTTTTCCCCATGCCTCCCGCCAGGTTGTTTCTCCTGCACTGGAACATCACGGCAAAGAAAGACGGAATCATCGCTGCACTTGAGGCGAAGCACGGCAGCGGCGCCGAGACAGGCTGGATGTCCATTGGCTGGACGAAGAAAGCCGGCCTCATGGCTCCCGCCGACGCGGTGGTTGGGAACCTGAACGCCCCGAACACCATTGTGGCCTACACTATGAAGGGCAAGACCCTGGCCTTCAATATGATCAAGAAGTCAATCGCTCCAGCATTGAAGCTCTCTGCAAAATCGGTGGAAACCACTGCTGATGGTGGCAAGATTGTGAAGTGAGTTTCATCTGCTCCCGCCGCGGGACCGTGTGCGTTGCACGAGGCGTTCTTACCTCAAAGTTATTGACGTGCCATGATGCGTTACCTTTCATTTCAGGTTCACTCGCTCAGGCAAGGGTGTTCTGAGTCCTGTCAGTTACACGGGTAACAACAACATGATCTGGGCCTACTCCAACTCCAAGGCTTTCAACATGCACACCAATCGGTAAATTCTCACACCCGTCAATTTCCTAGTACTGAACGATTCTAGTATTTTGCAACTTCCTCACTCCTGTTACATGGTTTTCTTAACCTTTGTGTGTTTCTTGTTGTCCTCTTTTATCATTGCCTGGCTTCTTGCTCTTCACCAGGGGTAGCATTGTCATCAACCTCGGATGCACGCCTGTGTGATGGCGTCTCATCTCTGAGGAGGGAATAGTTTGTAGCAGAGAGACAATGTTAGGTGTGCGCATCAAGAATCAGCACCAAGGGTGTGACACAGATGCCGTTGAAGTCTTAGGCTTTGCCTGGGTGTGGCCCTTGTTGCTGATTGTTGATGCAACTCTATTGAGCAAAATATACACATACACACTGTGCACATACCTGCGTGAACAAACATCATACGGTAAAAAAAAAACCCGTTCACCATAATCACCCACCATTACCAAGTAACCATCACCACCACCACCAACTATACCATCACCACCATCACCAACCATTATCCATGGCAGTGCTTGTATGGAAGCACTGTTGACGCCTGTTACCCTGCACCATAGAGCACAAGGGGCTCTAATACTGGTAGCATGGCGAAGCATGTGTGAGCACCAAGAGCAGGCCCTGAACCACGGTCCACGGCACGTTGTGCCACGGTCCACGAACCACGTTGTGCACGTTGTGACACAGCTCCACCATTTCACAGCACTGAACACCATCTCACAGCACCGTACTGCACATCCCAAATCACAGCAGCTGCCCCTTGAGGATCTTCGCCGCCCGCTCAATTGCCCGTGCCGCCCGGAAAATCTCATGCTGCACCGCACTCCACTCCTCCCCACCCTCGAGATTTCCCTTAGAGGCGCTGCTCTTGATGAAGTCAGCAATGGCATCACGGATGGCCGGGAATGCTGGCGTGGCATAGACGTTGTCCTTCTCAGAGCTGTACACCTGCGAGGAGGGTGCTCGGAAAGGAAAGGAGATTCAAGATGAGTCTTGATGACGGTCTTCAAGGAGCACACCTTGGTTTACACCTTGATTGAACTTGGACCCGGCAGCATCAACACGTAGTTCTCTCTCTAGACCATAAACACACCGTGTCGCTGTCATTCTCCTTAGGCCCGTGCGCCTGGATGGTGTGCGCGCTCACACACACACACACACACACACACACACACACACACACACACACACACACACACACACACACACACACACACACACACACACACACACACACACACACACACACACACACACACACACACACACACACACACACACACACACACACACACACACACACACACACACACACACACACACACACACACACACACACACACACACACACACACACACACACACACACACACACACACACACACACACACACACACACACACACACACACACACACACACACACACACACACACACACACACACACACACACACACACACACACACACACACACACACACACACACACACACACACACACACACACACACACTTCACACCTGTATTCCACACACATGCCACCATAAGCATACCCTCGCTCAAATCATCTACCGTACCTCGCAGTTCCATCATCGGGCCACTAGATTAATCAGATTACGTTCGGGCCGTTTCCACAAGAGGTGCTTGACGTGTTTCAAAGCTCACCCAGCCTCCCACTCTCTACCTAACACCGTGACTCTTCCCTCCAACCCACCAGATACCTGCTTTAATCAACTGTAGTGCGATCCAATACCGTGGTGCGATCCAATACCGTGGTGCGATCCAAAACCGTGGTGCGATTCAAAACCGTGGTGCGATCCAATACCGTGGTGCGTTCCAATACTGTGGTGCGATCCAATACCGTGGTGCGATCAAATACCGTGGTGCGATCCAATACCGTGGTGCGATCCAATACCGTGTTGCGATCCAAAACCGTGGTGCGATCCCATACCGTGGTGCGATCCAAAACCGTGGTGCGATCCAATACCGTGGTGCGATCCAATACGGTGGTGCGATCCAATACGGTGTTGCGATCCAATACGGTGGTGCGATCCAATACGGTGATGCGATCCAATACGGTGGTGTGATCCCATACCGTGGTGCGATCCAATACCGTGGTGCGATCCAATACCGTGGTGCGATCCAATACCGTGGTGCGATCCCATGCCGTGGTGCGATCCAAAACCGTGGTGCGATCCAATACCGTGGTGCGATCCAATACGGTGGTGCGATCCAATACGGTGGTGCGATCCAATACTGTGGTGCGATCGAATACCGTGGTGCGATCCAATACCGTGGTGCGATCCAATACCGTGGTGCGATCCAATACGGTGGTGCGATCCAATACCGTGGTGCGATCCAATACCGTTGTGCGATCCAATACCATGGTGCGATCCAATATAGTGCCCCGACCAGGAACCCCCTCGTTTCCAGAGACAGACGCCCACTCAACCCTTTCAGCTGCTTCGTACCTCAACACACCCACCGACACGCACCCACCCCTTCACTGCCTCACACCGTGTGTCTTCCCTCCCAAGCACCTGGTGTTTGAACCACGTGTAGTACGATCCTTGTGGACCTTACCACACTCCACATGCATGTCACACCACTAACCCGCCTCACAGTACCATCATTCTTCCACCCACCAGCTGCTTGAACCACGTGCAGTGAGGCCCGATGCCATGCCCGTGTAGGAACGCCCACTCAACAGACACCCATTCAACCCCTCCAAATCCCTTGCCCCACATAGAGTGCAATTCGCACGCACCACAGCAAACCCATCGACACTCAGCCACCCCTACAGAATGTTATACCACACGACCCTCCCACCCACCAGGTGCTTGAACCACGTGTATTGAGGCCCGATGCCATGCCTGTCCAGGAACCCCCGCTCCGCCAGAAAGAGGCGCTCGTTCACCCCGTCAAAGGACGCCGGGAAGTTGCCACCTTTCCCAGATGCGCCCTCCATAGGACACGTTCCCCCCCTGCACTGGCAAGCAGTGCTGCTCGTTTCGATTGCCTGTGAGGGTTGAAAAAGGGAAGCGGGGAAGAGGGGGGAGGATGGGAGGAGTGTGTGTGAGATGCGGCTCCCCTAGAAAGTATAAAAGCAATAGCGGAGGATGTAGCTTTCGAATCAAAGCGTAATTCTAATCTGACGCAGGCGTGGACGCCAGGATGCGCCCTCTTGATTCTGCACGTGGATGCAGTGCCCTTCCAGGATGCGCCCTCCCCCACGTGCACCTGCATGCACTGCTGCTAGACGCTGTGCTGCTCTCTGGCAGACGGAAGGAAGGGGGGTGAGGTGAGGGAGGGGAGGGATTCGAGGGGTGTGGGTGGGGTTGGTGAAGGTTGTGCTTGGTTGGGAGGGGTGTGAGGTGGAAGGAAAGGGTGAAGAGAAGAAGAGGGCTGGCAGGAAAGAAGTGAGGGAAGTGCGAGATGCAAGGTGGGAGGGACGACACGAGGCGACAATCGAGGGGTTTGGTAAGACGTGCAGAGCAGATTCAATGCCCCAAGCACCGCTGTGCATCCCACCGCTGTGCATCCCACCGCTGTGCATCCCACCGCTGTGCATCCCACCGCTGTGCATCCCACCGCTGTGCATCCCACCGCTGTGCATACCACCGCTGTGCATCCCACCGCTGTGCATCCCACCGCTGTGCATCCCACCGCTGTGCACCCCCACCGCTGTGCACCCCACCGCTGTGCACCCCACCGCTGTGCACCCCACCGCTGTGCACCCCACCGCTGTGCTCCCCACCGCTGTGCACCACACCTGAACATGGAATACCAGTTTCCACACCTTGATTTCCGCTTCAATACTTTGAGCAGCAGCCAGGAGGTGAGAGACAGACGCAAAGAGCAGCGCCACGGAGAGAGATGACGGGGTGCCTTGTTCTGCCACGTCAGCCTGCAGCCTAGCCACGTCATGCTCTAGGTGGACAGCATAGGCGGTGTAGTTGAAGGGCAGGCGGTGGTTGCCTGCCAGCCTGGCAGCCACGCCAGCCATCATCTTGGCGATTGCCACGTGGCGCTTGAAGAGTGGATCGGCAAAGGTGGCCATCCAATGGTAGTTGTCATACACACTGTGGAACATGGGGAAGGCTGGTCACACATGGGTAAAAGAGTAGAATGGGTAGGGGAGAGTGATAGAGGCGACGCAATGCTACTCAAATGAAAGGCGGCCATCCAATAGTAGTTGTCGTACACACTGTGGACCATGGGGAAGGCTGGTGGAGCGAGAGAGGGGAAAGGAAGAGGGGGGAGAGTGGGGGAGGGAGAGGAGATTCGACATAGAAACAATCTAATGATAGGCGTCATACACGCTGTGATCCATACAGGAGCCATCTGTGATACATATAGGTTTGCCTAAGAAACCACCTGCTCATAACCACACACCATCCCACCTCTTCTTTTCTCACTACTCCTTTCAAACCTCGCACCACCACCCCCTTCTAAACTCACATCCTCCAAAGTAGGTGTCTGCTGCGGCAATCCCAAGGTGCTGCAGGAATGGTGAAAAGTCGCTGCCTCCGCCTCCCAGTCGCCCCAACGGCAGCATGTTCTAGGAGCGCATGTGGGGGATAGACAAGTCTGAAGTGACACATGAGTCGGGTTGGAGTTGCAGAAAGGGATGGTCAGCTCAGCATTGAGACGAGTCACGCATGCAGTGGGGATGTGAGTGAGATCATGTGTGCTGCAGAAACAGGTGCTTTCAAGATGCTGTAGAGAGGTTAGCACATGTACACCGGAATTAGAGTCTAAATTGAGGTGCCTAAAAAACAAAATGCTACTGGGAGGAACACCAGAACTAGAGTTCTCACCTAAGATGGATTTGATGCTCCAGCAGGGTTGGAGCAACCTAAAATGTAGTGTTTTGACACTGGATGCTGTCTGCATCTTTATATAATCGATTTAACTATTTCCGGCTTAAAATAGCCTAATTTCCTGATTTTGCGCCAAAAACGTGTCAGGCATATATGCTATAGTCTGTGTAGGCTGTAGTGGGGCAGTTCATATGGGGTACAACACTTTAGGGTTTACTACTTGTACTCCTCATTCTCCTCAATGCATTCATTCCTCGTTTCTTATCATGGTATCGAGCAGGTTCCCTAGTGGGAACGCTACCTAGGGCCCACCACGATACTTTTTTTTTCCTGCCCGGAGCCCGCTTCACTCCTGCCCGAGTCGCGCTCTGTGTGCTCTCCCTACCTTCGAGCCGCCCTTAGTGGCCCCTCTCGCGGCCCCTTTGGCCGCCCTTACGGCCCCTCGCGCCGCCCTCTACGGCCCCTCGCGCCGCCCTTACGGCCCCTTACGGCCCCTCCCGCTTCCCTTACGGCCCCTTACGACCCCTTACGGCCCCTCACGCCGCCCTTAGTGCCCTCGTGCGGCCCCCTTTCGGCCCCTCGCGGCGCCCTTTCCGGCCCCTTACGGCCCCGTCGCCGCCCCGTTTAGGCCCCTTGCGGCCCCTCTTTGGCCCCGTCTAGGCCCCTTGCGGCCCCTCTGCGGCCCCGTCTAGGCCCCTTGCGGACCCTCTGCGGCCCCTCTGAGACCCCGTCGCCGCCACCTGCGGCCCCGTCGCCGCCACCTGCGGCCCCGTCGCCGTCACCTGCGGCCCCGTCGCCGCCACCTGCGGCCCTGTCGCCGCCACCTGCGGCCCCGTCGCCGCCACCTGCGGCCCCGTCGCCGCCACCTGCGGCCACGCAGCCTCCACCTGCGGCCCCGCCGCCACCTGCGGCCCCGTCGCCGCCACCTGCGGCCCCACCGCCGCCACCTGCGGCCCCGTCGCCGTCACCTGCGGCCCCGTCGCCCTCCCCTAGCGGCCCTGTCACCGCTCAGCCGCCCAGCGACCGAGCCGCCGAGCAGCCCAGCAGCCGGACCGCCCACCTGCCGAGCAGCCGAGCCGCCCAGCAGCCGAGCCGCCCAGTAGCCGAGCCGCCCAGCAGCCGAGCCGCCCAGCAACCGAGCCGCCCAGCAGCCGAGTCGCCCTGCCGCCGAGCCGCCGAGCCGCCCTACTGTCGAGCTGCTGCTGTTCCTACCGGTGCGCCCCGGCCCTCCTTCCTCGGACTGGTGAGCTCACTCCCTACTAGGCCTCTGCAGTCATGGCTACCCCCAGTGTCCTTACTTTTGATGCTGAGGGCCGTGCCGTTGACTTTGAGGTCTGGGTCGATGACCTCCAGCTGTTTCTCGAGTGCGATAGGGCAGATGGACTCTCTCCGCACCGGCGACCGCACTGGTGAGCAGTGCGGGGGCCCGCACTCCACCCAGCGCTGCTTCGGCCGCCTGACGGACGCGTGGCGTCACCAGCTTCTCTGAGGCCTCTCAGATCCCTCGCTGGGGAGAGCTATCTAGGGCGGGGGTTGCTATCTTTGATCTTGACTTTGATGCTATTCTTGCTGCCATGTATGCTGTTGCTGATAGTGTTGAGGGTGACTTTTACCTGTATGTTCCGCCTGACCCGGGCATTGAGACTGCTGCTCTAAGTGCTGGTGAGGCTGCTGCTCTAGGTGCTAGCGCGTCCGCTGCCCCAGGTGCTGGTGAGTCTGCCCTCTCAGGTACCACGTCGGCTCAGGTCTTACACACCTTCACCCTTGACTCGGGTGCTTCCCGCTCCTTCTTTCGAGACCGCACCACACTTACGCCGCTTCGTCGGCCGGTTGCGGTCTCCCTGGCGGACCCCTCTGGAGGTCCTGTCCTTGCTCGCTTCTCCACTGTCTTACCGTGTCTGGCAGCCCTCTCTGGAACCCTGTCAGGTCTCTACCTTCTCTCGTTCTCTACGAACTTGGTGAGTGGAGCTGATCTACAGGATAGGGGGGTTGACCAGTTCACTCCTACGAGTCAGCGGGTGACCCACTGCACGTGTGCTCGGACAGGCCGACACTTGGCCACGTTCACCCGTCGGCCGGGGTCGAGCCTGTACACCCTCACTACTGAGTCTCCTCCGGCTGTTGAGCCTGGTCAGGTCGCTGTCTCGAGTCAGGTGTTTGCTGCAGTGTTCAGGTCTAGTCCTGAGTCTGCTCCCTGCTCGTGTCGTCTCCTGTCTCACCAAACTCTCCTTTGGCACCACCGCCTTGGTCACCCCTCTCTGCCTCGTCTCGGAGGCATGGCCTACCGTGTCCTTGTCTCTGGTCTCCCCCGGTCTCTCCCTCCTCTACCTCCAGGGCCTGCCCCTACCTGCGTCCCCTGCGTCGAGGGGCGACAGCGCGCCGCCCCTCACTCCTCCGAGTTTCCTCCGACAGAGGCTCCGTTGCAGACTCTTTACATGGACGTGTGGGGCCCTGCCCGTGTCCGTGGCCAGGGGCACGAGCGTTACTTCCTGTTGGTGGTTGACGACTACTCGCGTTACACCACGGTCTTCCCCTTGCGCAGCAAGAGCGACTTCACTGAGGTGTTGATCGACTGGATCTGCGCAGCTCGAATCCAGCTCAGAAAGAGTTTCGGCTCCGACTTTCCTGTTCTGCGTCTGCACTCTGACAGAGGCGGGGAGTTTTCCTCTGCTCGTGTGGGAGCCTTCTGTCGTACACAGGGCATCCTCCAAACCTTCACGCTTGCGGCCTCTCCACAGAAAAATGGGATTGCTGAGCGCCGCATTGGCATGGTCATGGACGTCGCTCGTACGTCCATGATCCATGCGGCTGCCCCCCATTTTTTGTGGCCGTTTGCGGTTCAGTACGCGGCGCATCAGCTCAACCTTCAGCCCCAGGTCTCCTTGCCAGAGACCTCCCCCACCTTGCGGTGGACGGGGAAGGTTGGCGATGCGTCTGCGTTTCGGGTCTGGGGATCATGGGCGTTTGTCCGCGACTTGTCTGCGGACAAGCTGTCCCCCCGTGCTGTTCCCTGCGTCTTCTTTGACTTCCCCCCTAACGCGCCTGGTTGGCAGTTTTACCACCCCACCTCGCGCCGTGTTCTGTCCTCCCAGGATGTAACCTTTGACGAGTCGGTGCCCTACTACCGTCTCTTCCCCTACCGCGCTGCGCCCCTTCCCCCGCCGCCGCTCTTCCTTGCACCAGGTCCTCCCCCGGTAGACCCCCTCCCCCCTCAGGGTCTTGCCCCGTCAGGTGTGTTCAAGGTAGACGCAGTCAAGCCTGTCGAGTTAGCTGTTGACTCTGCTGCTGCTAGAGGTGCTGAGCCTGCGGGTGCCGGGTCTGGGGGTGCTGAGCCTGGGGGTACTGAGACTGGGGGTGCTAAGCCTGGGGGTGCGGAGCCTGGGGGTGCGGAGCGTGGGGGTGCGGAGCCTGGGGGCGCTGGGTCTGCTCGTGTGGCCACCGGCGGTGCTTCGTCGAGGCGGGAGCCACTCTCTCCACAGGAGCTGCGCGAGTGGTTTGCCCGGCGCTGGAGCCGTGCTGCTGGAGCTGGAGGTACTACTTTTGCTACTGGTCCCGGAGGTGCTCGTACTGGCGGTGCTGGAGCTGCTGGGCCTGGGGGTGCTGCTGGGGCTGCTGGAGTTGGTCTTGGTGGAGCTGCTGGCGGTACTGGAGCTGCCGGTCCTGCTGGAGTTGGTGCTGCTGGAGCTGCTGTAGCAGAAGCTGCTGGGGGTGTTGGCGCTGGTGGTTCTGCTGGCGCTGGTGCGTCTGAGGGTGCTGGAGTTGGCGCTGTTGGAGCTGGAGGTGCTGCTGGCGCTGGTGCTGCCGCTGGGGGTACTGGTGCTCTCCCTGGTGGTTCTGGAGGCGCTGCGCGGCCGCGGCCGTACTTCGTTCCGCTCCTTGAGCAGGTTCTTGGTCTCCCGCCCTCTACAGGTCCTGCTCCTCCCTTAGAGTGTCCACAGCCTGTCCAGTCGCAGTCACCGTTACAGCCCGCCTCCCCTGTACCTGCTCCTTCTCCGTACACTGGTCCTACTGGAGGTCTTGCTAAGCGTCGTGAGCCTGCGTCTCGTCCTGCGTCGCCTGTTCGCACTGCTCGCACTAGTCGTCGAGTTTCACGTCCGCGTCCTCCTGCGGTTCCAGGCACACACCGGATGGCACTGCGTCCTTCCACTGCTCCCCTTCATGTCCCGTTGCCGTCTCCTCCAGAGTCCTCTCTTCCTGTCCTTGCTGACCCTGAGTCTGACTCTCTTCATGCTGCCAG